TGGGCAGTCTGGGCTGCTGGTTGGCGACCTGCACACAGCAGGGGGTTGGAACTGGATGAGTATTGTGGGGCTTTGCAACCCAGGCCATTCTGTGATTCTATGATTCTGCGATATCAATGGCACGGGACATGGTTATTGGGCACAGTGGGGATGGGTTGTGTTTGGTCTTGGAGATCTTAGAGGTCTTCTGCAACCTTAATGATTCTATGATTCTGTATCAGTGGCACAGGTTGATGGAGCCTCCAACCTCTACTGGTTCAGGCAAAGGACACAGGTCTGGATATCAGTGGCATGGAACATGGTTAGTGGGCATGGTGGTGACGGGTTGGGGTTGGACTTGGTGATCTTAGAGGTATTCTCTAACCTGAATGGTTCTCTGATACTACAAGAGGAGTAGTACCATCCTGCAGCCCCTGAGCCCTACTCAGCATCACAGTCTACACTCTCCATGACCTCCTCCACCCTCTGCCTATACTCAGCCCTGTCCTCCCGCAGCCGTGCCAGCCAGGGCAGGAGGGACTCAGTGGGGCCAGGCGCTGCCTCTTCCTCATTGGGGCTGATCCTGAGGACCAGCGGGTGATGGAAGCAGAGCTGGTAGGGGCCAAGCACCTCGCTGCGCACACACGTGGCCCTAAGGGTGGCCATGATGAGTGACAAGCTGTCTGCCCAGTGTTTGCCCGCGCTCTGGGCCAGCCGCTGCAGGCTGGTGGTGATGGCTGCCACCCAGCTGGGTGGTGGGTATTGCACATCCACATCCATCTGCAGCCCCATCTGCACCGCTTCCTGCAGGAAATACTCACGGTGCCCCACGCTGACACAGCATGGCGTCCCCATCCGGTGTTCCATGTGCGCTTGCAGCAGCTCGACCACCTCCTCCACGTTGCCTTTCTTCATCGGGAAGGCGTCCACCCACCTCGAGAACTTATCCAGCAGCACCAGTAGGGAGGAATAGCCCTTCGAGGAGGTGGGCAGGCCCTTGATGTGGGCCAGCTGCAGCCGTGACCACGGCCCCTCCATGCGCTGGGGCTGCGGGAGGCTACTGGTGCAGCTGCAGCGCTGCACCCACTGGGCCACCTGCTCACGGTCCCCTTCCCAGCGTGCCACCTGCCATACCCTGTTCAGCATTTTCCTCACCCCCACATGCCCCATATGGCTGAGGGCGACGATCTCCTGCCTCTCATGCTTGGACGGCTCCCACACCCGCTGGCCAGGAGCAGACAACACCCACACTTGGATGTTCTGCACTCTCTCCACCACCTTCCGGTTCCACTTCAGCTCCTCCCCATCCCCGCTGTGCCCAACATGCAGCACACCCGGGTTGGCATGCACCCATTGCAAGATGCTCTGCCACAACTGCTCATTGCCCACCTCCATGACCTCACTGTCCACATTCTGCAGCCCTTGCACCACGCTCTGGGCTTTGGCATAGATGTACAAGGGCTTGGAGCTCCTGTGCTTCTGCAGCAGCATCCTGATGGCCTCCAGCTCCACGCCCGCCGGTGAGCCATCCTGCATCAACCCCAGCAGCCAGCGCTCCTCCAGGTTGGTGGCAGCAAAGCCTAAGGCTGCCGTACAGGCCCAGCTCCCCGCTGTGAACCAAACATCTCTGCGGGGCACATTGGATGGTATCTGTTGTAGGCGAGGTGCAGAGCGCACCGGCGTGCCTGAGGGCTGTGGGGCTGCGGGGATGTTTTCCCCCCCGTTGACCAGCAGCAAGTTCCACTGCTTCTTGCAGGGGGTCGGCCAGCAGAAGGTCTTGGTGTCACCCCAAAGGAGGTACTTCCAAGGGGAACGGGGCATTTGGATGACGATCGGAGCTGGCCCTATGAGATCCTGGAACACGTGCACTGCTCTGACCACCGCAATGCAGTGCTTCTCCTCGGGCGAATAGAACACCTGGTGCTTCTTCAGCACGTCGGACTTGAACCAGGTGGGGACCATCTGCCCCTTCTCATTCTCCTGCAGGAGAGCAGCCCCCGTGGTCTCTTTGCTCACCGTCGGCCTGATGATGAATGGCTGCGACCGATCGACGAAGCGCAATGCCGGCGCCGTCAGGAGGGCCTGTATCAGCCTCCGCAGCGCCTGCTGCTGCTCCCAGCCCCATTGCCACTTCTCTTTCAGCAGCCGCTGCAGAGGCAGCTCCAGCTCTGCATAGTCCTCCACATGGTGCTGATGATAGCCTAGTGTCTTCAGCAGCGAGTGGAGGCTGCTTGGATCCGATGGGGATGGGACATTCGCAATGTACTCCCGTTTGCTTGCCTGCAGCTCCCGGCCGCGTGCCGACAGCTTCATCCCCAGGTAGTCCACCTCGGGGCGCAACAGCTGTGCCTTCCGCAGCTTAACTTTAAAACCAGTGGCCTGGATCAGCCGCAGAACCCTCCTTGTGCGGGCTGTGGTCTCCTCACTGGTTCTCCCAGCGATGACCATATCATCTATGAAAGAATACACCCAGCCTTTGTCCTCTGGGGGCAGCTGGGCCAGCATGCGGATCACGCGGCGGTGCACGATGCTGTTGGTGAGGTAGAAGCCTGGCGGCAGGCGGGTGAACAGATACTGCTGCCCTCGGAAGGTGAAGGCGAACCTGAGCCTGGAGGTGGCCGTCAGCGGGATGGCAAAGGAGCAGCAGGACAGATCGAGGGTGGAGAAATAGCGGCTGCGAGGGCTGAGCACCAGCGCCACGTCCTCCTTGCGCAGGGACTCCGTCGGCTGCCGGGAGATGACTCTGTGGATGGCTTTGAAGTTGAGTGTCAGCCGCATCTCCCCATTTTTCTTGGAGAATAGGTACAGATGACTGTTGTAGGGCGAACTGCCCGGCACCACGATGCCCTCCTTCAGCATCTGCTGCAACAGCAAGGCCACAGTTCTGTCCAAGTCTGGCCGGAATGATTTCTCTTTTTGGCACAGCACTTGATCCCAGGTCACATCCTCCTCCTCGGCCACCATCCCACAGTCCAAGTCGTACCTCGCCCACACGTCTGGGAACTCCTTTACCCATGGGTTCTTGTGCTCATCCTGGAGCTCCATCATTTCATGGTACCCTTCCATCCATGGCTGGATGCTCCTGTTTCGGAACTCCATGACTCCACAGATGTGCACTGGGAGCTCAGAAGCTGACAGAAAGAGACTAAATGCCTCTGTATCTGCACCTCAAAGGAGGAGGGTGAAAAAAGGGGAGGGTGAGGAAGGTGGTGTTTCTGCCCACAGAGCAGTGAGCTCACCCGCCTCCTTCTGCAGCTGGTTCTGAGGTCTGTGGGAGAAGAGCAGAGCTGCTATGAGAGCAGAACTGATAGCAAAACCCTCCCCCGCGGTAACCTTGAGCACAGAGCACACAGAAATAGGAATATGAAACGCAGCTGCTGCACCCCCATGCATAGCATCCCATGCATGGCCCCGCACCCCTTTGAACTCCTGTGCACCCCTATTCAACCCTATGGACAAGTATCCCATATGCAGCCCTGCACTCCAATGCACCCAATGCACAAGTGACACGGTCAGCCTCATGTATCCCCACACTTGAGCAGCCCTGCAGCCATATGCACCCCAATGCACAAGTGCCTTATTCACCCCCATGCACCCCTCTGCACTAGTGCCCCATACACCCCATGCAGCCCTATACAGGAGTGTCCCATTCACCCCATGCACAACTGTCTCATTGGCAACACTACAGCCCCCATACACCCCCATAAGCAAGAGTCCCATACACCTCATGAACCCCTGTGCACCCCTATGTATGAGCATCCCATGCACCCTGTGCACCCTTATGCACAATATCCCACTCACAGCCCTGCATCCCCACGCGTTCCCACGCACACCCATACACGAGTATCCCACACACAGCCCTGTACCCCCAAACACCCCTATGCAAAGTGCCCCATTCACAACCCCTCACCCTCACACCCCCTACGCAGTGTCCCATACAATGCCCTGCACCCCCAAACACCCCTATGCATAGTGTCCCATACACAGCCCCTCACCCCCCTATACACAGCATCCCACTCAAAGCCCTGCACCCTCATGCACACCCATACACAGACATCCTATACACAGCCCTGCACCCCTATGTACAGCATCCCATTCACAGCCCTGCACCCCCACGCACCCTATGCAACGTCCCATTCACAGCCCTGCACCCCCATGCACCCTATGCAGTGTCCCATTCACAGCCCTGCACTCACACGCACCCCCATACACGAGCATCCCATACACCCCCCGTGCACCCCCCATGTACCCATATGCAGTGTCCCATACACCCCAAACACAAACACCCCAAACACAAACACCCCACACACCCCCCGTGCACCCCCACACACCGGAGAGTCCCGCACATCCCACGAACTCCACGCACCCCTATGCACGAGTGCCCCATACACCCCAAGAACCCCCACTCACCCCTACGTAGGACCACGCCACACACCTCCCGCATCCCTACGCACGACCATCCCACCTCCATCCACCTCCCTCCGTACAGTGACCCATACCCAGCACCCCCATACACTCCAACCCCCCCCAGGTGCCCGCACCGCTCCGCCGCAGCCTCGCTCTTCTCTGCGGCTCCTTTCCGCTTCCGTGGGGTCGCTACCCAACCCCCTAACCGGCCCACAGCCGCTCCTCCCACTGCTCCGCTCCGCTCTGACCCCGGTTCCCCCCCCGGGGTTTCGTTATCCGTTGCTCCGCGCCCGCTTATCGCTGCGGGAGCCGCGCTCGGCACTTTGCGTTTCTTTGCAATAGGTGTCGTTCTTTGGTTTGTTTGTTTTGTGGTTGTTTGGGTTTTTTTCTTTCTATTTCCTTTTCTCGTTTGGCGCAGGTTTTGGTGGCGCGCCCCCCCGTGCCGCCTTGCAGCGGAGGAGAGACTGCGTGCCTCAGTTTCCCCAATGAAGGGGGAGGGTTGGAGGGAAAGCGAAGCCGCGCCCATCCCTGCAGCGTCGGGGAGACGGCGGATACGGGGAGGAGGGGGGACCGGGGGGGGGCCGGTTCCAGAAAGCTCCGGGCTGGGAGCTGGGCGGACCCGCGGCGGCGGGGCGGATAAAAGGGGGCGGGTGGGGGCGGGCGGCGGAGCTCCTGGGGCAGCCGGCACTGAGCGTAGGTATTTTTTTATCTTCCCTTCCCTTCCCTTCCCTTCCCTTCCCTTCCCTTCCCTTCCCTTCCCCGTTGGGGTTGCACAGCTGCTGGCAGTCCATACAGACTCGCGATGGGGGCAGAGCTATGCCCCCGCGGTTGCCCCCAGCACTTCTGTGCCATGGGATGTGATGCATCAGGCAGGAGTTTCCCACAATGCTGTGTGCTGGGCAGGATGGGAGGACATAATTATTTTTGGTTTTTTTTGGGGGGGGGAAAGGCAGCAGTTATTTTGGGGGAAGATCAGCATTTGGGGCAGGGAGGGCTTAGCAGGACTTTTTTTTGGGGGGGGGGGGGGGGATGGGGGGGGGGGGGCAGCAGTATTTTTGTGGGGGCAGCAGTGGGGCCATGCAGCAGCACCCACCAACGATGGTGCAGTGGGGCACAGGGCCAGGACACCCGCCCCCCCCAGGGAGAGGCTGAGCCGAGGGACAGAGCCCCGCTGCAGCTGACGATTGCACAACGTTTTATTTTTCGGGCATTTAGTAGCCACACGCTGCAGCTGAGCTATTGCACAACGCTCTTTCTTTTATTTGGGGGGCAGGATCGCGGGGGCAAATCGCGGGGCTTTGCCTCCCCCGATATCCTCCCCTCCCTCCGTTTCCCCCCCCCCCCCCCCCCCCCTCCGTGTGAACGCAGGCAGAAGAAAAAGAGGAGCAGAAAGTCCCGCTCGGTGCCTTGGCTGCATCGGAGTTTGGCACAGCCCTACCCGACGCTGTGCCCACGGCGGTGGCCCCGTGCCCACTGCTGACTCACAGCCCCGTGCCCGGATCCCAATCCATCTCACTGCCTTCACCCACGCAGGTCTGGGCGGCTCTGGGACGGGGACCATGGCGCTGCCGCTGCTCGCCCTGCTCAGCCTGGTGCTCGTCTGCCAAGGGGAGCAAAGCCTCATGCCCCCCAATGAGCTGAAACGTAAGTGGGGGTTTTTGGGGTGTAGGGGTGGGGGGAGATGCACGGAAAGGATGCTTGAACCCATTGCTTTCGGGGAGGGCGTTCACTGCTGGCAGCGGGGAGGGGTGAGTGCTGCGCCCGTGGGAATGGGGCTCAGCATCCTCATGTGAATATGGGACAGGATCTGGATGCTTAAATGTGGCTGCTGGGTGGGGGGGAACCCATGAGTGACACTGCCCAAATACTGTCTGCAGAGGGGAGGGGAATGCAGCCCCAGATGGGTTAAGGTTTGGCTTTTAAGTAATTTTTTATTGAGTTTTGTGAACTTGACTTTTGTGAGCAAATGTTTGCATGCACTGGGGGAAATTCGACTCGTCTTGGGAGCAGTGAGCTCACAGATACTCATCCTTCCATCCGTCCTCCGACCCATCCATCCATCCTCCCTCTCTCCCTCCCTTCCATCCTTCCTCCCATCCATCCTCTCTCCTTCCCTTCCATCCATCTCCCCCCATCCACCCTCCCTGCAGAGCTCTCAGCAGCTGGCAGCAAGTACATTGACACTGAAGTGGAGAACGCCATCAATGGGGTGAAGCAGATGAAGACACTGATGGACAAAACCAGCAAGGAGCACCAGGCAATGCTGCACACGCTGGAAGAGACCAAGAGGAAGAAGGAGGTGAGTGAGGTTGGGAGGGCTGGGGGAGCAGGGTTGCAGGGAGCTGATCTGGGGGCTGGTGTGCTGTGCCATGCAGGAGGCGGTGAAGCTGGCCTTGGAGAAGGAGAAGCAGCTGGCAGAGAAGCAGGAGGTGTGCAACGAGACAATGCTGTCACTGTGGGAGGAGTGCAAGCCCTGCCTCAAGCACACCTGCATGCGCGTCTACTCTAAGATATGCCACAGTGGCTCGGGGCTGGTGGGCCGCCAGGTGAGCTGGGCTGGAGGCGTCATAGGGGTGGTGGGGCTTTTGGGTTCCGTGCTGACCCCAATCCCACCACAGCTGGAGGAATTCCTCAACCGCTCCTCGCCCTTCTCCATCTGGGTGAACGGCGAGCGCATCGACGAGCTGCTGGATCGGGAGCAGCGGCAGGAGCGGCGCTTCGAGGACCTGGAGGAGCGTTTCGGGCTGATGGAGGACGGCGTGGAGGACATCTTCCAGGACAGCACCCAGCTCTACGGGCCCGCCTTCCCCTTCTTCCGAACGCCGCCCTTCGGTGGTTTCCGTGAGGCTTTCGTCCCACCCGTGCAACGTGTCCACCTGGTGCCACGCAGGAGGCTGTCCCGAGAGCTGCACCCCTTCTTTCAGCACCCGGTGCACGGCTTCCACCGCCTCTTCCAGCCGCTCTTTGAGATGACGCAGCGCATGCTGGATGGGGGGCACGGCGCCTGGGAGCACCCGCTGGGAGGCTGGGCGTCAGGTAGGAGCGCTGCACCGCCGCAGTTCCCCCTCCTTGTCAGCGTGGAGGAGGAGCTCAACCCTAAAATGAGACAGCGGAGAATCCACATGGAAGCCTGGGAGCCTTAGGCTCTGCCGTTAGCAGAACTGGGATGGGTTTTGGGGTGGTTTTCGCCTATAGTTGCACCTCGGGGGGGGGGCTAGATGCCAGAGGGATGAGTTGGTGTTGGGTTTGGATGTGCTCATGAGGGGCCGGCCCCATGTTGTCACCATCCCTGCGTTGTCACCTCCGTCACTGTCTGCTGGGTCAAAGCCATGGCTCCACGCAGGGCAGCTGGGAACAGTGCTGATTGCAAAACAGAGGTTGGCACAGAGTACTCTGGTCTGGAAAATGTCTCGTTCGGGGCCAGGAAATGTTTTTCGGTGAAGTCAAACTTGCCTGGAAAAAGTGCTTGAATGGTTCATGAAAGCCCTGCGGTGCAGTCTGGGCTTGTTGGACCAAGGCCTAGAATGGGGGATGTCCCCCATCCGTGTCCCCCATCTGTCCGTTGGCCCCATCTTCCCATGGTTGCCCAATCCTTTGGTCCCCCATCCATTCATGGTCTCCCACCATGGTTCTCCCTCCATCCATTGATCCCCTATCCATTGTTCCCATCCATCCACGATCCCCCATCCATGCATTGGTCTCCTATCCGTTGTTCCCATCCGTCCATGGTCTCCCATCCATCCATTGGTCCCTTATCCATGGTCCCCCATCCATCCATTGGTCTCCCATCCATTGTCCCCATCCAACCATGATTCCCCATCCATCCATCAGTCCACCATCCGTGTCTCCATATCTCTGCTGGGGTGATCATGGCTGGCCAACGTTCCCTTTGCTGTGGCCACATTTTGGGCAGTCCCAAGTGTGGGGAGCTCCCTAATGCATTTCTCTCTGCAGAACCCCGTAACTTCAGCACCGATCGCATGGTGTGCCGTGAGATCCGGCGCAACTCAGCTGGCTGCCTGCGGATGCGGGACGAGTGCGAGAAGTGCCGGGAGATCCTGGCTGTGGGTGGGTAGGGGGGCAAGATGGGGGCTGTGCCTGGCTGAGGAGGTGCAGGGTGAGGTGGGGAGGGGGCTATGAAAGGATGCGGGGCATGGGGATGAGGTACAGGGGGATGGGATGCAGGGAGCGGGGATGCAAGGGGATAGAAGGGATGGGGACGCAGGGAGTGGGATGTGGAGGATGGAAAGGATGGGGATGCAAGTGATGGAGACACAGAGGATGCAGGGGATGGGGATGTAGGAGAATGATACGCAGAGGATACAAGGGGTAGGGATGCAGTGGATGGGGCTACGGGAGATGGAGAAGAGGGATGCAGGAGATGGAGGTGCAGGGGGTGCAACAGACGGGGATTCAGAGGATGGAGGTGCGGGGGATGTAGAGAATGCAGGGGATGGGAATGCATGGGATAGATGGGGGTGCAGGGGATGCAGGGGATGGGGACGCTGGAGTGCTCCCTGACCTCCATCCATGCCCTGCAGACTGCTCGCAGACAGACCCGGTGCAGAGCCAGCTGCGGGAGCAGTTTGAGGATGCCCTGCGCCTGGCTGAGCGCTTCACCCGCCGCTACGATGACCTCCTCAGCGCCTTCCAGGCTGAGATGCTCAACACCAGCAGCCTCCTGGACCAGCTCAACCGCCAGTTCGGTTGGGTCTCACGCCTGAGAAACCTCACGCAGGGCACTGATGGGTTCCTGCAGGTCACCACGGTGCGTCCCTATTGTCCCCAGGGCTCTGCCAAAGGCTCTGGGCCCCCCTCCATGGGTGAGGGAAAGTGGGTCAGGGGGAGAAAGAAGCGATTGTCTGGTCCCCTCTGCACAATAGAGGCCGTGGGGCTGGATGCCAGAGCCGGGGAGGCAGCGTGGGGGTGCGATGGGGACTCAGCCTTCTCTCTGGGCCCCTTTTCCTGCAGGTGTTCTCCAAAACTCCCAACCTCAAGGACCCGTCAGCCCCTGCAGACACGCAGGTGACGGTGCAGCTCTTTGATTCAGAGCCACTGTCGCTCACCGTGCCTGGGGACATCTCCTGGGATGATCCACGCTTCATGGAGATTGTGGCCGAGCAGGCACTGCAGCACTACAAGCAGAACAACACCATGTGAGTCGGGTCCCCGTGTCCCCTACTTCCCCATCCCCTGCCTCCTCTAAGGCTGTTTGCAGCAGGCTGGAGCTGCTCTGAAGCATTAAAACCCTCCAGCAGCCCAGGCTGAGGGCTCAGTCTGCTTAGGCTGGAGGCTGTTGTGCCTCACCCCCCCTCCCTTCCTTCCTCTGGCAGAGAGTAGCTGTCCCTCCTGCTGCCCCATCCCCACATCAGTGGGTCAAAGGCCATTACCACCGCTCCCGCTGCTGGGCCCTTCAGGTCCTGAACCAGACAATAAAGGTAGAGTGAACCTCCCCGTCGGCTGCGCTCTCCTCCCGTGCCTTCTTGGGCTGTGCCCCAGCACAAATAAACCTTGCGGAAAAAAACAGCTGTGCAATGCTGGGATGAGTCGTCGGGTGTTGCGAAAGGGGAGAAAGCGGAGGGCTGCCATCACTGACACCTTCCTGTTCCTGTTCTGGGGTGAGCAGCTGGCCTCCCCAGAGCCAGCACAGCAGGAGCGGAGCTGCTGCGGGGCCGTGCGTGGGCCCCCCCATGGCTCACTGCCTTCTCTTTCCCATGGCAGCTGGCTCAGCTGCAAAACGTGGCTGCTTGGGACTGAAACACAGATGCTGCACACATCGGTGCTCTCATCCCACAGGGATGAGGGCACACAAGGAACACACCACCCTGAGGGCAAACCCCATCATCCAGCACCTTGTTGGATCCTCCCCTCTGCCAGGATACCACAGAGCAAACCATGGGCAGGAGCACTTTATTTGGCAGCTACACAGGTTGTGGATCAGTGGGGCCAGCCCCATTGTGAGCCCTCTGCCTACCAAACTGGCTCTGTCCGTGCCAGGGAAGAGCAGGCATGCACAGCCCAGCAGTGTCCTCCCCACGCCTCCATACAGTGAGGCAGCAGAAAGGCTCCTCCTGGAAGGAGCACAAGTCCCACAGGTCACAGTGCTCAGCGTTCACTGTTGATGGCAGTGTTCTCTGCATGCAGCAATCCCTCCCGTTCTGCCTCGCTGCCATCAGCCCTGCTCCGGGCCAGGCGGGCGAACACAGGGCGGTGCAGCCCGTTGTAGAGGGCAGCACCCATCAGCAAGATGGCAAAACCCAAGATCTGCAGGCCGTGGAAAAGCTCCCAACCCACTGCCAGGCTGACAGCCCAGATGACGACGGTGCGGAGGCTGTCCAGCACCATGCGGGTGGTGGCACTGATCTCTTTGGTGACGCTGATGCCGGCGAAATTGAAGAAGGCGATGCTGCTGATGTTACCCAACAGGGCCAGGGCGATGAGGGGCTGCCGGCTGATCTGGCAGAAGGCATCGAGGGCATCCTCCAGCACCTGCCGGGGGTTCCCGCTGAAGCTGCCCGCTGGGATGTAGTACATAGGGACCAGCAGCAGGGCCAGGATGATGAAACCGAAAAAACCTAGGGAAAGAGGAAGGGACACACGAGACAGAAGCTGGCTTCAAGCACAGCCCAAAGCTACCCTTTCCCCCTGTGCCAACCATTCCTGCACTGTAGCAGCCAGCCCCCAAACCCCATCGGCGCTCCCTGCCCCCCACACAAAGCAGCTCTCTCTGCACTGCAGCCCTTTGAGCAAAGCCTCTTCCCAAAAATGCCCTCAGCCAGGCCCCACGCAGCAGCAAACCTTCAGTGCCGACAGCCCGCAGTGGGTGCACGTCGTGTTTGTAGACAAACTTCTCCTCCAGCACCATCTGGATGGCAACGATCACCTGTGCCATGATGATAAGCAGGTCACCTGAGGGGGAAAAGAGGGAAAGGTCGAGCCCTGCACCCCTGGGCAGGCAGTGTGGCTGATCTGGAGCTGTGCACAGGGAGGTGGCCAGGGTTATTTCCCTGCAGCCACCCCGCAGGGTCACCACATACCGGTTATCACCTCGCTGAGCTTGTGCTTCTGGTCGTGGCTGCTGTGCAGGTCGGCCAGCCCCACCACCACCAGCCCCACGATGGTGACCAGGATGCCCAGCCACTGGCTCAGCTCCAGCTTGCGGCCCAAGAAGGCCACAGAGAGGAGCCCAGTGAAGATGATGACGGATCCTCGCAGCATCTGGAAGCTGGAGGCGCTGGTCATGTTCAGGGCTGCGCGGGGAGAAAGCACCCTTGAGCTGTGTGTGCCACCACTCCTCTGCTCAGGGGTCTGCACCTATCCCAAACACCACTGCAGGAGGCTCTGAGATCTCAGAGAGGCAAAGCCTCCCCCCAGCACTCACCCACATACATGATGCTGGTCCCAGTCATGTCGCAGAGTGCAGGGGGCAGGAAAAGCAGCGGGCTGAAGGGCTGTGATGGTGCCATGCTGGGCTCCGGCCTCCGCCGGTCCCTCCATAGCAGCAGGTAGAACACAGCTAGGCAGGAGAACTCACCCAGGAACATGCCCACGGCCTGTGGGAGAGGTGGGTCAGGGTGGTGGGACCCAGCGGGATGCCCTACAGCACCAGGCTGGGGTCTCACCTGCAGGAAGGGGTGCTGGAAGCTGTGCTCTTCCGTCCCACCGCAGCCAGCAGCGCTGAAGTTGTCAGCCCACCTGTGAAGGAAAGTAGCAGGGTTAGGGCAGGAGATGGAGCGTAACCCAATGCACACCCAGCACTGGCTGTGCCCTCTGGAGTTGTGAGTGTAGAGTTGGACTTGCCAGATGCCACTGGGACAACCTAGAGAGCAGGGAGTGACCAAAGGCATTCCTGGCTCTAGCTTGCTGTTCCCAGTGATGCTTTGTGACAAAACCACAAGCAGCCCCTGACCTGGAGGAAAGCAGCGTGTGAGTCACAGCTCTGGGGTCAGGGTACAGCACTGCCTGTGTTTCCCAGATGCTGGGAAGAAACTGCACTGCTGGCCCTGCTCCCAGCCCTGAGTGACAGGTGAGGAAATGGACACCGCTGTGTCATGCACCATCGCTGTGTCACGCACCGCTGCAATCCACTGTCCCTGCTCCCATTTCTGGGAGAGGAAGGATCCAGCCATGCACTGAGCAGAGCAGACTGTGGGGGCTGATCCTGATAACCTCCCTTTACCCATAGGTCACCAACTTTGGGGGCGATGGGCCAGATGGCCCCAAAAGGAGGCTGGATTGCAGGCTGTGAAGGCAGCAGCTCCTACTCAGCCACAGTGTTTGGGGGTACAGAGTACAACACCCCTCTTTTAGATCTTCCAAGCCAAAATATCGTCCATGCTGGACAGAATGGCACTGTCCCCATGGTACATCTCAGAGAGCCTATGCAGGGCTGTACCTCAATCTCTTGGTGACACCACACAAGAACAGAGTCCCCATAACATCCCAGCACAGCCCCCATGAGCAGGTGACGTGTGCCCAGCTCTGCTGTGTGCCGCAGAGCTGCTGAGCTCAGGGGAACAGGCAACAGGAAGGCCCCAGGGGCTTTGCAGCCAGGCCAGCAAGATTTCAGTATGACTCATCCCCCTCTGACCGCTGCAGCCCCTCCGTGTGCGTTTCGCAAGAGCCTCGGACAGGCAGCTCACTGCTATCTTCTCCCTCTGTGTTAACACCATGCTTCAGTCTCCCCTCCTATGAACACGGTTTGCTGTGTCTAAGGCCAAGCAGAGACTTAATGTCATCCCTGCAGAGCTGTGCTGAGCTGGACAGGCGGGTCCATCCTGCTTGGGCAGCTCTCAGCAGCACCCACCTCATCCTGCACACAGCTGGAGCTCCCTAGGAGGGGCTCAATCACAGAATCACAGAACAGTCAGGGTTGGAAGGGACCTCAATGATCATGAAGCTCCAACTCCCCTGCCACACGCAGGGCCACCAACCTCCACATTTCATAGCAGCCCAGGCTGCCCAGGGCCCCATCCAACCTGGCCTTGAACACCTCCAGGGATGGACGGGGCATCACAGCCTCTCTGGGCAGCTGTTCCAGCACCTCACCACTCTCATAGGAAAGAACTTCCCCCTGACATCCAATTTAAATCTTCCTTCCTTCAACTTCAAACCATTTCCCCTTGTCCTGCTGTTATCTACCCTTCCAAAGAGTTGACTCCCCTTCTGTTTGTACCCTTTAGGTACTGAAAGGCTGCAATGAGGTCACCCCGCAGCCTTCTTTTTTCCAGACTGAACAAGCCCAGCCTGTCTTTTTATGGGAGGTGCTCCAGTCCCCAATACAGCCCAGGATGAGCTGCAGCACAGAGCAGGTGCAGAGAAGCCGGGTTGCAGGATGCAAGCATCTGCAAAGGGGCCAAGCAATCCCCAAGCCCCACATTTCCCCTTTCCTCCCTCAGCAGCAGCAGCAGAGCTCCCAGCCCAGGCTTCACCCTCCCCTCCCCTCCGCGACTCTCGCACAGCGCTCTGCCCAGCTGGGGGTACAAAGCAAGGGGCTGGGGAGGGCTGGAGGAAATACTCTAACAGCCGGGGGTGAAGGCAGGAAGCCCGAGCCTAGATGGACACTGGGGCCTGGGGCTGAGTCTGGGGTCTGGGACTGGGCCTGGGGCTGAAGTCTGGTATGGGGTCTGGGATCTGGGCCTGGGATATGGGACGTGGGGCTGGCCTTGGGCCTGGGGTCTCGGGACTGGGTCTGGGGTAGCCCCTCAATGCCCGGGCGGCAGGGAGGACTCACTTGGCCGCCAGCGTGTTGATGGAGCCGGTGAGCAGCATGAGGGCAGCCAGGCCCAGCTGGTACCGAGACCACGCCATGCTCCCGCCGCCGCCGCCGCCACCTCCCGCCCTGCACCGGGGCGGCCGAAGCCCCGCCTCCATTCGTCTTAGCCCCGCCCCCCGGCGCTTAGCCCCGCCCTCCACCCACCTCCTCTCTCTCCCATTGGCCACGCTCTCACGCGGCCTCGACCACGCCCCCTCCCTCTAACCACTCCCCTTCCCCGCCCCTCTGTGCGTGGCCACGCCCACTCCGCACTTGGCCACGCCCCTCGCTGCCCGCAGGCGGGCCGTGCACTCCCCGCTGCGCCCCCCCCATGGGAGAAGGAAACGTCTGCCTCCATGCTCGTGTCCCCACGCCCCTCTGTCCCCGTACCTCCATGGTGTCCCACTGTCTCCATGTCCCCATTGCCCCCTGCCCACGTACCCCAAAGTGGACCCCTTTCCTTCTGTCCCCGTGTCCCCTTGTCTCCATGTCCCAATGTCCCCCAGTCCCCGGGTCCCCCAGTCCCCATATCCCCATGTCCCCGTACCGCCGTGGTGCTCCCTTGTCCCCATGTCCCCTTATCCCCCCTTCCCCATATCCCCATGTCCCCGTATCCCCGTAGTGCTCCCCCGTCCCCTTATCCCCCCCTCCCCATATCCCCCCGCGCTGTCCCCGTGTCCCCGCACTCTCCAGGCGCCACCAGATGGCGCTACAGGATCGGTGCCACCCCGCCTCTCCCACTCGTGCCCCCACCTCGAGCGGGGCCGCATCC